ACATTTTTCCAGCTTACAACCTCCCCCCAGTGGTTTGTTTAGGTGGTCGTAACCTTTAAAAATACACTTGTAGTGCAATCCTAAGTATTAGTTCCCTATGTTTAATGAGTTTACTCCCAGATCAGTACGTAGCAAGGTATTTTCCTGATAACGTAAAACATCCAATTAAGATCAGAAAATAGACACAAGCTGGACGAATGGTGTATGGGATCACATTTAGTAACTGTCAAGTCATTTTAACTATGGGAGAGTATGTAGATACTGAAAGAATGAAAGGAACAAATATGAGCAACTCTCCTCTGTATATGTAAGTTTAATACAACAACTTAAGCTTTAAATATAAAACATTTAAAAACACACAAACAACAGTACACCTGAGATACATTAAAATAGCTGGAATTCCATTTTATCAGATACATTACACAATGGAAGGTTAAGGGCATCTTCCTTTTACATGATTCCGTGCCATAATGTTACACATGATAGGAGCAAGGAAAATACTTGGAACGGCTGCAATATACTGACAGAAAGGAAGCTCCAGTTCCTTGAGGCAGGGAGAGGTCTCATCCAGCTACTAAGTGCTACTGAGGAACGAGCTGCATTTGCTGAACTTTTCCTGTTCAGCTCCTGCCCCGAAGCTGTTCCATCATGGGCTTCTCTAATGGTTGACTTTTAAGTAAAGGCCTGGCAGGTGTAGACTTTCCTATTGTGTCAGCATCTTGACAAGTAGGCAGGCCGAATGCTAGGCTTAGCAGCAGATGTCACAATAAGGTGCCCATTTGGTGTGGTGCCTTTTCCAGACTTGGATGCACGCACAACACTGGATTCCTGCTAGTCGCCTGTGCCCCAGGATGGAGCTCACAAGCATGTCCAGAGGAGGACATAATGGAGCAAATGCATGCTGCTTCACAGACACAACCCTGGGTGTCCTGGGTGCTTCAGGAGGATTGGCTTATGCTGGCTTCTCAAGAAATCTTCCCCAAACTTCTGGAACCCAGAGCCAGTGAGAATGCAGGTGCGTCCCAATAGTAGCTGTACAGGTGAAATGCAAGTTTCATCACAGAAACACGGTGCTACTGGTAAAAGTGACACAGACAACTAGTTGATGGTGATGGCCACAGAGTTCATCACAAAGGCCAGAGATGGGTGAGAATGGTTCAGGGACAGCACTTGACCACTTGACATTTGGTGGCTCACTGCTCCATGTATGAGCTGCCCACACAGAAAGCACTGTGCCCAAGGTGATGCCACACCCTGCCTGGAGCGGATGCTCCTTCGGGGATGCAAGTCAACCTTGACACTAAAGCAGTTATTGGATGATGAGTGTGCACAAGTCAACACAGCTGATACAAATCTGCCTTGGTGAGGTTGAAGCTCCCTCCAGAGACGCTTTCTCGTTTCCCTTTCAGGCAGATAAATGAATACAAAAGCAAGCAAGTACCACAGGCTGGGGAGAATGCGTGTGTTTATAAGTCACCACATTCCCCATGAAAATACAGAGCAGCCACAGCAAAAGACACAATTATACATCCATCACAGCTGATGCAGCCTGCAAATAGTATGCAAATATCCATTAAACTTGGGGGGCAGAATCCCACGGGATGCATTGTGCTAATGCAACAGGCTGTGAGGGCAACACCAACAGCATTAGTTGTGTCTGCTAATGCTGCTGGAGTTGCGGTAGATGCCGGTATGATGTAGCTGATGTTATTGCTGGGATTCCACTGAATACTGCCCTCCATCATTTGTGGCTTTACCACTGAGACAGCTGACCCTGTGATCCTGAAAGGAACCGTAACTTCTTCAAAGACAGAAATACTGTGCAGCAGTCCGATTAATTACCTTAAAATATCTCCAAAGCAAAAAAGAAAAGATAGAGAAGCTGAAGGGTAAAAGGAAAGAATGTTTACTAAGGACCTTAAATGTTTTCAGCAATTAACCTGAAAGTAATTTACACTGTTTCACATTGATTTGGGACCAAGACATGACTAGAGTTGGATTCCTCAGGGTTTAAAAGAACTTTTACAGATCACAGGAGGGATCTGCAAACCCTAACCAAGAACAACAACTGAATAGTTCCTTTGCTCAGCCTAAATCTGTGCAGCTCTTCACATGTCACAAGTGTTTTGAATAGTAGCCGAGGGTCTGATCTATAAGCAGTGCTGCATTTCCCAAATGGAGAAAAACTATGATGGAAGAAAACCTGACACTGGCCGACGGCCGCTCTCCAGGGTTTCAGACAGGGCTCCAGCCATGCTGTGAGGCGCCAGGGCCTGAGCAGGGCCCTTCTGCAGGCCAGGCCCGTGCTCCTCCATGGAGCCACAGGCCTTCCCCATATCTGCTGCGGCGAAGGTGGTCATCCTCACAGAGTGAGCTCCATGGGGCACCCTGAAGCTCCCCTAGGATTCTGGGATTCCCCCTGTAGGATCTTCAAGCCGTTCATGCCAGAAGAATTTCATGGAAGTCAACAGGAATATCCTAGACTAACCCCATTTTAAAGCTCAAGCCACAGAAGCAGTAAAATTGCACTAGAGTTGTACAGCATGGATGTAAATTGCTGATTTTTTGGCAACTGTGTATACCCAGCTGTTGTTCTAATAACAATGGGAATTGTACACATGTGTGATGAGGAGATGCCTATTGTTTCGCTCCCAGCATCCAGCAGTGGCTTGTGGTAGCTTCAGGACCTTTTGCCTGTTTCCTCTCCAATTTATCTTTCAGTTCAAGGCAGGGGCTTCCTTCACAACCTCTCCTTTCCCTTCCTTTTATCAGCAACTCCAGAATGCCACCTATTTCCTGTTTTCTTTTCTCCCTTGTGAAGAGCCACTGTTGCATTTGTTCAGTTCTTACAAACTTTTGATGGCTCCTATAATCACCAGCTCCAGTCTCATTCCCCTGACTGGGGAAGGCCGGCTTCCCCCACATCAGTGCAATTTCACTGGAATGGATCATTTGGTTAAGGAACCATGGCCAGTTTTCCTCGACTTGTATTCCTCCAGATGTTCTCAATTGCATCTCCCATCAGCCACAGCCAGCACAACCCATGGTCAGAGATACTGAAAATTATCATCGAAAACATTTGGAGGGAGCCAGGTTGAGGAAGACTGCTCTAGGACAATTAGTCTCAGAGTTGCATAATCACTTTGATGCTTTTTTTTCCACATGAAAGTGAATTCCAGCTGGGTTATATCCCCATAAATGGTGAGGCTTTTAAGTAGATACAACTTTATTTGCTCCAACTGGTCAACTTTGATTTATAACTTTAAAAGGACATGGCTCACTTGTCCAAACAAAGTTTCTTCCCCCGCCAAATGTGGCTTTCTCCTGTGTGTGAAAAAGACTTTCACCAGCGCTAATAATAACATCAGGTGATCACACGAAGAGGGTATTTATAAGCAGATCAATGCTGGTCTCATACAACAGGCACCATGAAGCTATTTCAACAAAGAGTGGTTTATTCTGTGCTTTGCCTCATTTCAAAAACTACAGGAACTGGAATGGGGAGGACAAGAAGCTACCTTAATCTTCCCTCAAGTGCACTACTCAAGGTTCAAAATAAAAACAGAGTATAAACAGAGCAAGCCAGAAAATATGTGGTATCCAACAGGAGTTTTGCACTAACATGAAGCACTTTCTAAAGAATTAAAATGTGCAAGGCAGAACATGCCATTTTTGCCTACTGTCCTTGAATGCCACCCCCGAGCCTTTAGGAACCCTCTAGAACAGTCTGGAATAAGATAGGGATGGCAGTAATTATCCTGCAAAAATTGGCTGCCTCGGCTTGCACAGGCAGAAGTGCTTTCCATCAGGGCACACCTGTCACTGGATACACACCAAGGTACTCTATACTCTTTTCAAACATTTCACATGTTTCACAGGGTTTGCCATCACGAACTGGTCATGGCTTCCTGGTGCGTGAATCTGTATGATGCCTGTTGGTCAAGTACTGTCTGTCACATCCACACTTCACCACTTTTAGGTGCAATGGCGTTGAAAGGAAAGGATTAGTTTCCACCCTGCACTGCTTTGCATTTCTGGGTGAATTGTGCTGCCCGCATCCAGCTCATCCTAGGCCAAAAGTTCAGATGCCTGGAGATGGAAGCAGACTAGACCCAGGGCAGGGCTCTTCAATTGCCCCCTTAGGTGGTTTTCCCTGCACCTGCATTTAGTTCCGCTTTCAGGGCCCATCTGGAGGTTTGGAGAACATTTGCAGGGGGCAAAACTGCACAGGCATGGGAACAGTAAAGTGTGGGGTGAGGTTAAGAGCGCTGACTAGGTCTGGAGAGCCCAGGCTGCCATGAACTTTGAGCTAACATACCTGGCAGGGTGGTTGTGAGGTTAAAACAGAGAGGAGGCGCATACACACCACCTTGGGCCCCTCAGAGAAAGGGTGGAATATACATGCTCATAGGTAAGGAAGCAGTCCTTGCCCAGCCATCTGCAGATGGTCCCTGCCCTCGCAGTTGCAAACCATGCCCACTGAGAGCGTGCGTATACATTCCCTAAATCAAAACTCTCTTTGGCCTCATAGTGAAGCAATATAGACTGGTGGGATCGTAGCTCAGGGACTCCTCTGTCATGGCAGCCCAACAATGGAAATGTCACTGTCTTTAAGGAGGCTAAACTGAGCCCTTCTTTGCTGAATTTCAGATGGCCTATTCAACCTTTTGGTTCTGCTTGACTTCTGGGTGGTTCTTTTCCTGCTTTAAAGTTTGCTCTGTGAGGTGCTTCAGAGTTCGTAAATTATTTTACATATTTAAGTAGAAAGTTGCCTTCAGGGGCTTCTTTCTGTGAGAAGCATCCTCAAAAAGAAAAATTTATAAACAACCAAACAAACCACAGATGACATCTACTAATTAACCAAGGTGCTACTATATTTTAAAAAATAACAATGCACTGCAGTGAATTTATCCATAGCTTGTGTGCGTATGTGTGGAGGGGGTGTATAAACAGCTCCATAAGTGGAAAGGAGGCTGTAGAAGTACAGTCTTCAGGGCATATTTGACTAACAAACAAACCTACTTTATTTCCTGATATGAGCATATCATTAGAGGGTTGGGACATCAAAGAACCAGCTAGTTAAGAGCTTTGTAAACAAAGAAAATCAGCAATTTTAAAAAAAGAATAAACCAAAATGATACATTGTAGTAATTACATAAAAAACAAGGATGTGATTAATGAAAAGAAAATGAAAAAAATTCAAACACTTTACAAAATTTTAATATAAAAACAAAAGCCAAACTTTGCATTAAAAACTGTATAGAAGTCATCAGTAAGTTTAGCAAATTGATACAGGCATGAAAATTGGACACCTTTTACTCTCGTCATGTATTCTGGGCTATTATCCTTCCTCCCAAACACATACACACATATATACATTTAAGGCATCTTAAAATGATGTACCTTTTGCCTGTCGTAAATATCTTTAAAATTAGTGACTACAGCATGTGCAAGGGCTTGCACGCACACAGTGGAAAGGGTAGCACAGTGGACTGTTGAACTGTTCCCACCTCCTTGGAAGAGCCCCCGACCGCAAACAGCATTGGAAACTTCCCTGAGTGTCGAACAACTATCTGTCTAGAAGCACTTCACGTTTACCTGCGTTTGTACCATTAGAGCTTCTTAATGGTTGATTCGAGGTGGCGTCCCCTTTTCTCTTTTTTATTGTGCATTTTAGGAGCAATGTTTGAACTACTTTATTGCCCTGATCCACAGTACACTAAAAGAGGGCATCTTGATCAAGGTCAAGGCCAAGGAAGCTTTTTACATGCACTGAAGTACATGCACCTCCCAGCAAAACACCACATAAAGTCCTTAGCTTCAATCCCAAACACAGTAGCTGTATTGTTTATGTAGTAACTACATCTTGGCACTTGAGAATCTGGGTACCAACTGGATTTTTTTTAAAAATCGGGAAAAAACTATGAGTGGGGTTCAATTTTCGCTCACAGAAGAACAGTGGAATAAGGAGATAAATCCTATTTTAATGCACACTGGATCCAAAGTAAGGATTGCCCTGCTCACATGCTTGCAGTTGACAAGATGCAACATGCTATGCAGTAAGTACAATCTGCAGATTGGCCCTGTGTTGTACCTAAATCCAATTAAAATTAATGGGACTTAATTACAATTAACTTGTTTCACTAATAAGGTTTAAGCACTACATTTATTTGTGAACTCAGACTTATATTTTATTCTGGGACAGTGGCATAGAATATGAATTCTAATTCAGATCATCCAAATTTCATGTTAGTTATCAGATCTCCCCCACTCCAGGATGTAGTGTAAGTACACAAAAGTGTATTTAAAAGTGTGTAAAATTAAGCACTTGAAAATCCAAATATTATTAGTTCTTCTTAGGGACTAATTCTGTATTATAGCAGAATTTAGATACTGGGGGGAAAGCTAGTCCACAGAGAGAAATTCTGCTGATGCTCACAGAGTGGATTTTTCCATTGCAAAGCAATAAAGAAAATCAGCAGAATTTTACTCCATATATTTATAGCACTGACATTTTAATTCTTCCCAACAGGAAGGCAGCACCATCAGCCAAAGAAGGGCAAGTCAAGTGGTCTTCCAGCACATAGACAATCGGTAAAGAAACCGGGGGCAATGGAAGAAAAGTTCTCAAATGGGATCTGCCACAAAATGAAGCCCAAACAGAAAAAGCATTTCCAAAACTGCTTTGATAAGAAGACCACACAATTTCAGGAAAAAAGATTGCAGTGACAAATGGGGATTATTTCTGACAAGAAGTTGTGGCCCCAAGAGATAAATGAAACTGTTTTAAAATTCAGTGAAGCAGCTATCCTATGCACCTTTACCTGGGAGTCAGCTCTGCTGAACTTAATGGGACTTACTTCTGAGTAGACAGGCCTAAGGATTATGCTTGATATTTCTTCATCCTGCCCGGTCCATTTGGATGCATCCCAGATAATCCCCTGGGCTGGAATATGTTATCCTTACTGTCCTCTGTGGTCCGAAACTGGAAGATGCTAAGCAATTACCTTCATCCAGGACATCCATGTAAAGTGACACATTGTACAGGCAGGAAGAGATGCTTCTGCTTTTAAGAGCCCTCTCTATACCCTCCCCCTATAAGGCCACAGGACTTTTATAGACTCTGACAGCGATAGTCAGCATACTATAGGTTTTTACTTTGTTGTAAAATTAATCTCTCTGAAGCAATACAGTTGCTTGTAAGGTAGAAGAATATACCTCTTTTATAAATATAAATTTTGGCAAATGCATTTCAGAAAGGTCAAAATGGCAGACATACCTCTCTTTTAAAGTTAAGGTAGGTTTCACTGAACTTCTCAGTTCAGATTATTCTCAGTGGCAACTCAAAGCAAAGTCATCAGTGCTGAAGGCAGGCATACACGTGGGAAGGTCCCTGCCTTTCTAACTGCATATTAATTAGAGGAGATGTGAGATCTTAATTTCATTTTTCCAAGTGGAAAGATTCACCAGGCCACATCTAAACCAGTGACGCAAATTACAGCACAAATAGCACAATTATATTCTGAAAAAAAGACATCTTGCCCTTTTTTGGTATGTTTTGGACTGTGATCTTTGCAGCTCAGCACTGCCTTTTTTCATGTTCACCCGTGTCCTAGAATAACAGTTATGTCTGCCATAATTTTCAGCTCAGAATGTAGTGAACATTTGAAGCTCTGATCGTACACCACCGTATGCTCGGTTTTGACACCCAGCCACCAGCCTGAGACTAGAGGTCTTCATTCAAATGGAACATGAGCACCTGTTAGAGCAATGGTCCCTAACATCAAATTCAGGTATGTTTGCAAAGCAGGAAGAACACCCCCCACCACCAGCAGCTTCATCCCTTAGTCCAACTTGCATCCACGGCCTTATTTCACCTCTTTCGTGTCAAGCAAAACATGGATGGTGCATATTGGCTTGTGTCACAGTGATCCACTAGGGAAGCTTTTGTGTGCTGAACATTAAGGATTTCATTCACTCAGACAATGTGCTTCTTGAATCCTCAAGGAACTCATCTAAGGTTCTGACTCCTGTATATATAAAAAAGAACATTATAATGATATAGTCATCTGCTTCAAAAACTTCTAACTACTTGCATATTATAAAAAAACCTCAAGTAGCTAATACCAAACATGACATCTAGCATCAAATGTTAAAGCATCAAAATATATAATTAAACCAAAAATCACAGCAAGCACATCACAAGAAACAAATTTAATTTAAAAAAATTAACAGCCAGAGTTAAGGACATGAAGCAGAAGCAACAGTCCACAAAAGAGAGACCAACAAATACGGAAACCACATCAATTAAGTGCAAAGGACTTCTTCAAAAGCCGGGATTTAGCCTGGTGTCTAAAGGTATATCGTGCTGGAGCTCGGCATAGCTCTCCGAGGACAGAATTCTACAAAGTCAGTGTGACCACTGAAAAGCACCCGCTCCTAACAGACAGCCATCAGACTTCATTAGGTAGGCATGTCTAGAATAGACCAGAAGAAGTGGGCATATGGGGGATAAGCTGATCCTTAAGTTGCCCTGGTCCCAAACTATTTAGCATTTATGGTCTGCCTAAAGCAATGCATGGGACACAGTACATGTAGCTGAGGTTCAGCTGTCTCTGTGGCCATGCAAATCTTTCAGGAACAGCAGACAGAACTGTTATTCCTAAAGGTCAATACAAGCAAGCAGGCTAAGTAGCCTGAATCTGTGTCTCATATGAACCAGCTCCCACCTTTACTGGATTCCAAATGAAGCAGCTACAAAAGCTTTTGCAATGATGTGCTACAAAGACAACCAATTGTGGCCTAGTTTGACTAAATTTTCAGTGGATCTAATAAGACCACAACAAATTTCAAAGAGAGATTATCCATGTTCCAAGGAGTTCTATTAGAGTTAAGCCTTGAAGAGGCTGATTAACATCAGTTGAGGTACTGGGAAACAACTGAGCAAATCTTGATCTTAGATGTTTATGTATGATAAGATAATCGTTTTGGGTTGTTTGTTTTTTAGGTTTGTCTAAAATACCTCATGCTTCTTTATTTTTTCCAGGCACAGAATATACCTTCCCTGCCCTGAAAATCACAAGCTGAATCTTGTTACACTTCAAATCATGACATATTCACCTTTGATGCCAAGCTGGGTTCCAAGCCAAGAAACATAAGGACGGTGTTGCTTTCCTTGGATTCAAAAAAGGAGTCATAATCCTAAAGTTAAAAGAGAAGAAGAAAATAAGTGACTTGTGTAAAGTTGTACCCCACTTACATATATTGACAATATACTGTATTTAGTCAGAGATAAAGTATAATCAAACTACTGAGATAAAGCAATAACCCCAACCATATTCAATAGGAGAGGATAATTCCAGTTGCCTTGCTTTGTTACTGAAATGTCTGAAAAACAAACAAGATTATCAGTAAGTTAGTACTGATATTTATTTTATTTCCCAGATCCCCTCCCAATAGATCAAAGCAAATCAAAGAACCTGCTAAAATATCTGATATTAGACCTTGCCACTGGTTTATTTAATCTGCTAACTTGACTGAAAATGAAAGTAACAATTATTAACCATGACAATATAATTATATATGTTCCTTGTAAGAAGCAAAGTGCTTTGTCATTTCACCCCAAAGCACTGGAATACGCACTTCAGGACTACACCTTAGAAACAGGTTCTGCAGGTTTTGCTGCTTTTGGCTCTCCATCCAAGTTTGCCATGGAAAAGGGAGCAGAGCTCACCATTTCTGATGAGAATGCCTAAACATTCAATCAAAGCTGTCTGGCAGCACAATCTCATGCAGGAATTCCCATTAAGTGAAATAAGGTTTCCTTCTAAGGGTGTCTAAGACTTCAGCCCAACTTAAGGAAGCACTCAAATGTAAGAAATACGTATTTTAAAGCTTATTTCTAAATGCAGCATGAAAATCAAAAGAAGGTTTACCAAAACCCTGCCTAATCTTTTTGCTTCCTTTTATCTTTAAAATCGTAACGGACATATCTAGATACACTTTCTGAAATTCTGATGGAATAAAGGGCAGTACATATGCATGTTTTAAAGAAACTAATAACAATAGGCTGGGCAGAGATTCAAGAATAACTAGTGAGGCCCACAAAATAAAACAAAACTGCTTTGTGCAGTTCCACCCAGCCAGCCACAACCTTCTCCAGGATACTCCATTCTGTTCTGTTCCATCACCCCTGATTTTTCACTCCCTCCCTAATGGTCAGTATTCTATGACCAGTAGGGCATGCTCAGTATTAATCGTGCTGTTTAGAGCTTTTTCCTAACTTTCCCTCCATACACACACACTTCTGCAAACCTAAGGGTTCTCTTGAGACTGGAAACACCTCTCCACCACACTTGTACATGCATGGCCTCATTTTAGTTACATACAGCTTTGTACTTAGAATGTGTTCACTCTTAGAATACGGAGAACATGCAGCTCCCCATCAATCTCACCTAGTAGAGCCAATAGTGAGGGAGCTGCAGTCCAGCCAACATCTGAAGGGTCACAAAACCCCTTACAAACCTGTCCGAGGAATGCTCAGACACATCCCTACACACGTTTGGCCTGATACTCCATTAGCAGCTGCCCTGCAAGCAGAGCTTTCCATGGTGAGAGAACTGCTTGTGGAGAGTTAGCAGAAGCACCAGGGGAGTGAACCATGCAAGCAGCGAGGAGAGAAACAGAGAGTGTCTGGATCCTACTTTTGCAAGCTCTTTCCCTAGGCAGACCCTCCTTATATACACACAGAGCCAGTTCTTCTCTTAGGTCACCGTATTCCAGAACATAGGAAGCAGCCTTACATTAAATAAATCATTGGTCCATCTGGCCTGGTGCTGTCGGCATGGACTGGCTGCTGCTTTCCAGAGTTCCAGACATCAGTCCTCCCTGGAGATGCCAGGGAATGAACCCGGGGCCTTCCGAGTGGGCCTCTCTCATTGAACCATGGCCCTCTTCCCAGCTGCCCAAATGGGCTGTGCTTCCCAGGCCAGGTAAAGAACAATGTCAGTATCTCCAAGATTGCTTTTTCATTGGTGAAGCTTGAAGTGTTCTTGCTAGTATAAAACAAATGGGTGGATGGGTGGGTTGGGGATCGACACTGACATGATACACTCCATAAGGAAAGGTACTTCTTGCACCATTTGTACAAGTGCCCCCAAGATGCGTCTTCACACGTACTGGATTTGGATGTGCTGTTGGCTCACTGAAACTGATTTATTCTCTCCACACAAAGAGTAAAATTTGTGAAATGGCTTTCTCCTGTCTCCCGAGAGCAACTTCACGTTCTTTGTTCGCAACACTTTGGCTCCTGTGAAAGCAGTAACCCATTCGTACCCAAGCAAGCTCTGGAAACAAGGCTTCAAGTTTCCCCTTGACAACAGCAATCCTCCACTTGCTCTTATGCTGTCTCACCAATTGATTTCCCAAATGCTTAATGTTTTGATCTATGGCTGAGCTTCTTTGAGTTGTTCTACCATAGGAGTGGGGAGCCATAGGTTGTGGGTCTCCAAACTGCATCAACTCACGCAGCATAGCCCATGATCAAAAGACATTGTAGACCAATAACATCTGGAGAGTCCCAGGTTTGCCACCCCTGCTCTGTCCTAAGCTTCTCCCCAAAACCTGGCATCATTAGGTAGATCTGTCTCGGATGGCTTGCTGCGCCAGCTCTGAATGAAGAGGAAGTGGAGTATGTTATATTGTGCTTCTTTTTCAAAAGGCTTGAAGAACAGCAAAACTCTGTTTACCATCACACCTTTCAAATAGGAGGTAATCTGATATTAGACAACACCACCTGTTGTTGCAAGGATGCAGAATTTCCGGTCCGGGACACAATCCAACCTGCCTGGGGTTCTGCAGGTGGCCACGCCCTCTTCCTTAGCCCCACCCCTTTCTTCCAGCCAGCAGCCACCTGGTTTTTCCTCATCCTGAAGAACTGAAATGCCTCCCCAAAGGGTTACTTGCTATCAGTAAACATATTAAACTAAAATATATGACATGGGGAGGAGGCATTTTGGGCCCTACTCCTCTTGACTGCACCTCCACCCACCACTGGAATGCAGTTCCTGATACTTTGTGGCCCTTGGCCTAAAGAGAGTCAGTATCCCTGTCTTAAAGGGTGATTCAGTAAAAAAGGCAAGCAGGATTGCAGTCCAGCTGATTTCAGTCCTAGTACAAGCTACAGTCTTAACCCTCTAATTCAAACCAGAACAACTTTCATTTGGTTTGCACAAGGACTGGTGTGGAACTGTAGTTAAGAGTGGCAGTCTAAAACTGGGGAGACCCAGGTTCATATTCTCACTCAGCCATGCAGGTATCAAGGGATCCTCAAGCCAGGCACTCTTAGGGGCGCCTCACCTCACGTAGTAACAATTCATGGAGAAAAGGGCTGGAGATCAATCGATGCATTTAGCATGACAATGCTCCATTTCTCTCCATTTGATAGTCTTTTCAATTTAAGTAAATTGAGTTAAACCATAGGCAAACAATCTATATCAGTCAGATATGCAAATACTAGCTCATGTATCAGAGAGGCAGATCATCTTGCACAAGTTACAAAAAGCAGGGGTCTCACAAAGAGAACTGCCACCTTTTGAAAAATCCGCTGAAACAAGCCCCCTGCTTCTCAGCTGTCTAGCTGACAATGAGGCCAGCTTCCTGGCTGAAAGGGTCATTCAGTTCTGTGGGATTATAAAGGAAAGCTCTTACCCAGCACTGCTTTCAAGAGTTGATATTTTGACAAAACCTTTGGAGTGTTCTAAAAGGCACACACAGATTCTGTTTGCAATCTATTTATTGCTTTCCTCCTCTACTAACAACCTTGTGCTTTGAAAAGGGGCTTTGTTATTAGAAGCTTAAGGATTGAAAAAACACATCATTCACTGTTCATGTGCAAACAACCTGGGCTAAACATTCCATCCCACAGCAACCCATTCAACTCAATAGGCTTTTATAGGAATCTGCTATTGATGGGTTCCTGTTCCTGCAAGAGATACAATGTCAATAAATCATTAAGATAACAAGTGATCTCTTAGGAGGGGAAAAGCGGTTGAAAGGAATATATATGGCTAGCATGCCTGAGCATTTTCTCTCACACAAATAGTTCTGCAAGGACTATCCAAACTGAAGGTTTTTGTCATACTAACTCCGTCTTGTGATTGCTTTGATGCATTTGCTCCAAGGAATATGTTCAATTATCTTTAACAGATTTTTCATGACAGGCCAGGACAGCACACACACCAGGGGTTTTCCACATTTATTTTCTATACATGCTTTGTATTCACAACATTCAAGGCTGCTTACAACAAACAGCACTGTAAAAACAGAATCATGTACAGGTAGCAGCAGAAGACTAAAAAAATATTCAAAGCAGCAGCACTTTTTAAAAGCTCAGTGAAGCCTTCCCCAACCTGATGCCCTCCAGACATTTTGGACTTCATTTCCCATTAGCCCCAGCCAGCTTGACCAATGGTCAGCAATCTTGGGAGCTGTAGTTGGAAAGATCTGGAAGGTACCACGCTGGGGAAAGCTTTCTCCATAGAATTCAGCCTTCACAATCTCTCTAAGGGCCAAACTGAATGCTCTTCAAATCTTTGTAATGGAGATGTTCTTTCCCCGCTTTAAACCTGCTCACATGAGTGCATGTGTGAAATGTTGAGATGAAAATATCAGGGGAAGCTTAAAACCTGCCTCCTGGAATGCCATCTGGGCACACTAAAGACCTAATCAGGGCTGCATGCACTGGGTGTTGTTGCTATGTGCCATCAAGTTGTCTTTGACCTGTGGTGACCCTGTGAATGGAAGCCCTCCGAAATGGCCTGTCCCTGTCAGCTCCACTCAGCTCTTCCAAGTTCAAGGCTGTGGCTTCCTTTATGGATTCACTCCATTTCACACTCGGTCTTCCCTTTCATCTTCTTCCTTCAACCTTCCCGAACATGATGTTCTTTCCAGTGAATCTTGACTTTGCATGACGTGTCCAAAGTATGACAGCTTCAGATCTGTCATGTTTGCTTCTAGGCAAAGCTTTGGCTTGCTTTGATCCAGGACCCACTTGTTTGTCTTTCTGCTGGTCCAGGGTATTCACAAAGCTCTCCTCCAGCACCATGTTTTGAATGCATCCATTTTCTTCTTGACAGCTTTCTTCACTGTGCGGCTTTCATGCCCAAGATTGTGATTGGGAATATGATCGTTTGGATCATCTT